CAGAAATCCTCCGAGGAGCCGGGGTCCCCAGGCCTGCCTTCTGAGCACCTGCTCTGGCCTGTGTGCCTGTAGAGTGTGCTGGTGGTGCCTTCGACTGGCTCACAAGGCCAACTGTTATACTTTCCAGAAGTGTGTGAGCCAGAAGATGTCACGTACGTGGTTTGAAATCACCATTGAGGAAGTATTGACACCTGGGTTGTAAGAAAATACTACACTCCATCCCCCACCCCGACCCCGGGCTGACGTCCAACATCTATGCCCTGAACTACCCCAATTTCCTGTCTCTATTCTTATTTATTTTTAAAAATTTATCCGAAAGGCATAGTTACAGAGATCTTCCATCCTCTGGTCTACTCCCCAAATGCCTGCAATGGCTGGGGCTGGACCAGGCCAAAGCCAGGAGCCCTGAACTCCATCTGGGTCTCCCATGAGTAGCAGGGACCCAAGCACATGGGCCATCCTCCACTGCTTTCTTAGGTGCATTAGCAGGGAGCTGGACTAGAAGTGGAGCAGCGGGGATCTGAACCAGTGTTCATATGGGATGCCAGTGTTGCAGGTGGTGGCATAAGCCACTGAGCCACAACACCAGCCCCTCTTTTTTCTTTAAGGATTTATTTGAAACAGTGACAAAGACGGGGGAGTGAGAAAGGGAGACAGAGATATCCATCTTTCATCCACTGATTCATTCCCCAAATGGCTACAACAGCTAGGTCTGGGCCGGGCTGACGCCCGGAACCAGGAACTCTCCTGGGCAGCCCCATGGGTGGCAGGGGCCCAAGCTCCTGGGCTATCTTTATCTGCCTTCCAAGGCACACTAGCAGGAAGCTGGATTGACAGTCGGGCATCTGGGACTGGAACCAATGCTCCATTAAGGGATAACAGCATCAGCAGTAGCGGTGTAACTGGTTCTACCACCGCACCAGCTGCTCCTGGTCTGGTTAACACTGACATATTTCAGGTTCATTTTTATTTTATTTTACTTGACAGATAGAGTTAGACAGTGAGAGAGAGAAAGAAAGAGAGAAAGAGAGAGAGAGAGAGAGAGAGAAAGAAAGGTCTTCCTTCTGTTGGTTCACCCCCCAAATGGCCACTACAGCTGGCACTGCACTGATCCGAAGGCAGGAGCCAGGTGCTTCTCCTGGTCTCCCATGCAGATGCAGGACCCCAAGCACTTGGGCCATCCTCCACTGCCTTCCCAGGCCACAGCAGAGAGCTGGACTAGAAGAGGAGCAACCGGGACTAGAACCTGGTGCCCATATGGGATGCCAGTGCCGCAGGCAGAGGATTAACCAAGTGAGGCACAGCGCCGGCCCCAACATATTTCAAGTTTAAATAATAAAATAACCACCTGTGTACTGATCACTCAACTTAAGTACTAAGCACTTAACCAATCCAGTCAATGCCTGCCAACGCACACATCTGTGTCCCTGGCTTCACATGCTCTTCTCTCCCCGGGAATCACTCTGGGCTTTCTGATTACCAATGCCATGCATTCTTTGGCATTTCTGGCTCTATACAGATGTGAACCTCAACAGTATACGGTGTTGAGGGGGCTGGCGTTATGGCACAGCAGGTTAAACAACCATCTGTGACACTGGCACCCCATTCTGGAGTGCTGGCTTGAGTCCTCGCTGCTCTGTTTCAAATCCAGCTCCCTGCACCCACGTGAGAGCGCCGAGAATTGGATGGAGCTCTTGGCTCAGGCCTGGCCAAGACCTGGCTGTTGGAGCCATTTGGGGAGTGAACCAGGAAATGGAAAATCTGTCTCCCTGTCACTGTTTTACAAATAAAATAAATCACACACACACACGTGGTACTGTACTTTGTGCTAGTAGTACACTGCCTATTTAAACATTTTTTGTCAATCACACCGTAGAGGACATACTCCCCTGTACCTGCTCTTCTCACTCAAGATGGTTCATGTTGATAGGATTAAGCACCTGGATTTCCACTTACTCTGACTCATGTACAGTGTGCCACTACAGATGGTCACACGAGTTCACTGATCCACTCCCTTGTTGGTGGGCATTTAAGATTGATATTTTATTTCTGCAACCATGAGCACAACAGCTATGGGCGTTTTTACTCATGTCTGTTTTGACACATGTGAACACTTCTCTAACGTATTTTCCTTGTGGAACTGGAGGGTCATGGAGCACACACTTCAGCTTACCTAGATCATGCCAGAGTGTTCACATCATGGATGTGTATGGCAGCTTTGTTCAGAACGGTCCCCAAACTGGAAACGGTTCCAATTCCAATCGACGGCAGAAAGGGGAAATAAGTTACGGTATCTCCAAAAGCTGGAGATAAATAATAAAACTAAGCTATACAAAGAGCAAACTGCAGCTACAGTAGGCAGACCTCACAGATACACTTAGTAAAAGAAGCCAATGCTTAGGGGCCAGCATTGTGACATTGCGAGTAAAGCCACTGCCACAGCATCCCGAATGGGCGCTGGCTTGAGTCTAGGCTGCTCCTCTCGATCCAGCTCCCTGCTAATGTGCTTGGGAAAGCAGAGCAAGATGGCCCAAGTACTTGGACCCCTGCACCTATATGGGAGACCTGTTTGAATTCCTGGTTCCTGGCTTTGACGTGGCCCTGCCCTGACCGTTGCAGCCATTTGAGTAGTGAACCAACAAATGAGATCTGTTTACTCTTTGTCATCCCATCTTTCAAATAAATAAAACTTTTTATTTTTATTTGAAAGGCAGTTACAGAGAGGCAGAGGTAGAGGCAGAGCAGAGAGAGGGGTCTTCCATCTTCTGGTTCACTCCCCAGATGGCTGGAGTCGTGCCAATCTGAAGTCAGGAGACAGGAGCTTCTTCCAGGTCTCCCACGTGGGTGCAGGGGCCCAAGCACTTGGGCCATCTTCACTACTTTCCCAGGCACATTAGCAGGAAGCTGGATTGGAAGTGGGGCAGCTGGGACTCTAACCAGCACCCATATGGGATGACAGTGCTGCAGGCCAGGGCTTTAACCTGCTGCGCCACAGCACTGTTCCCAATCTTTTTAAAAAATTAAAATTAAAAAAAAGAATTCCAAGTGATCTTGACATCTTTTATACGCTTTGAATTTACATTTGTGTATGATGACAGGAGGTGCTGGTCCACTCTTTTTTCCATTTAAAAGGATACGGAGATATTCTACACACTCGACATGGTATTTTTGTTTTTTGTTTTTTTTTTTTTCCTGTACAGAGCTGGGCAAACCTTGAGCAGAGGCTGTGTCCACTTTACCTGCGGTGTTGAGTCCCCAGGGGAATCCCCTTCTGATCTTTTGCAGCCAGCAAGCTATTTTCTCCCAGCAGTCTCCTTGCTTCTTTCAGCTCTGCCTGTAGTCAACGCACTGAACGCCTGGGCACATGAAAGACTACAGGCATCCTATTTAAACCTGGTCCTGCCGATTACAGTTACAGTCAAACCTGTATTGTCAGTCTGGGGCCTGACTGCAGGTGGGGCCAGGCAGAGCTGGGCTCAAAGGCCGCTTGTTGACTGGGAGAATGGATAATGCCGCCTGTTTGTTCCTGCCATTCCTGCCACTGACCAGCTGCCAGACTTGGCCATTTAAACAGCGCCACCTCTGCCGCCTCCCGCACTCTGTCCTGCACCCTGTGGGTGCCCTTCTACTCAGAGGGACTATTCTTCCTAGCCGGACGTGGGCAGGTGGCAAGGACTCAGCCACACCTGAGGCCTCTCCCACGCCGCGTGCAGGGAGCTCCGGGGGGAATGCACAGGGAAACGCACACAGAACAGTGCTGCGATTTTGTTTCTCATCTGGAGCCTGGCTTTGAGTCCTTGCTCTCTCCCTTCTAGCTGGGAGGCCTTGGGCAAGTCACTTACCTTCTTTGAGCCTCCGTTTGGTTGTCCGCAGAATGAGTTAACGCGGGTAAAGCGCTGAGAACCACGCGCAGAGCAGGTGCTCAGCCAAGATGAGCTATTACTCTGCTCACCCGCACCAGAAAAGTTTACCAAGAGATACTTTAGGCGGCAGAGATGTCTGTTCCAAAGCCACGTGAAAAATGCCTTCATTTTCTCACAGCTGGGGAGTTTTGAAAAGAGCTCCCAGCCGTGCATTCCCTGGGAGGCTGCTCCAGGTTTTAGATTTTTTTTTTCTTGCTCAGCTTTTGGATGGGAGAAGAGGGAAGGGATGTTAAGGGATCACCAGTGGGCAGCCAACAAGCTGCATGCGGGCCCTGGATGTGCTGGGCTCAGCCCCTTTAAATTGAATTAATAACTAAAGAAAAAGGAAAAAAAAAAGTCTGTATTTCCAAGTTTTTGGGAAAGATGTGGCTGGGACCTCTTTCCTACCTGGGACCTTTCTGTGATGTGCCCTGGGCTTTCAAGCGCACCTCCACCCTCCCTTGGCTCCCAGGCTGTGGGGCATCTGGGCGCAGGCACCACCCCGAGGTCAAGCAAGGGGCACTGTCAGCGCAGCTACCCTGCGGGTGAGCCACGGAGAGACTGGGGGCCGGCTGCTCCCACAGGGGACAAGGGCCCAGGAGGCAGGGGCTCAGCCAAGCTCCCTAGCCCCTGGGGTCTGGCTCCGCCCTTGACCTTTGCACCCCAAGCGAGCTCCCGCAAGAGGATCTGTAGGTGGATGCCTATGGGCCATCTCCCGCTGCCACCCAGCTCCTCCTGGAGTCCTTCTGCAGCGTCTGTCCTCACTGCCCACCCGCTTCCACGGGCCCCGCCAGGGAGAGACCCTGCCCCGTCCCCGCCTCTCCCCTTAGCCATGGGATCCAGCCTGCTTCCCCGCCGGCCACCCCGCGCTCGTGCTTCATAGTCTCTGGCGAGGACGCCACACGCGAAAAACACTTGGTCACCCTCTGCACACCGCCCCGCAGCCCCCAGCGTCTCCCCTTCTCCCCGAGCGACGTCTGTGATCGCTCCAGCAACACCCGACAGCCGCCGAGCCGGCCGACAAGCGCTCACACAGATTCCACAAAACCCGGGCCCGGCTTCCCTCCCGCGGCGCCAGCGGGCACCCTGCTCCGGGCTGCTCCCCGCCTCCGCGCCTCCGGCTCCCCGCCTGGAATGCCATCTCCGCCTCTGCGCCCGCCTGGGCTTCCGGTCGGCGCCGGCCGCAGCCGCCCCGGGTCGCCCTGGCTGACCACCGCCCTGCCGAGGTGGGCTCTCGCCCTGTCCCCTCGCCCCTGCCTGCCAGGCGCGTCGGAAGCGCGCCTTCTCTCTCCTCCGGGGACTCTCTCGCCAGGGGAAGCTCCCTGGTGTCTTTGGAACTTTCGGGAATCCCCTGACGCCGCGCCGCGCCCCGGCTCTGCAGCGCCCGGAGCCGTCAGTCTGCAGGTTTGGACACGGGCGTGCAGCGTGGGCTCTCGCCCTGGAGAGGTCACTGGAGGAGGAGCGTGGACACGGAGCTCGAGTGGATACAAAGCACCATCGCCGCCGCGTCGCAGGGGCTTGGAAGTGGCGCCGGACTTCCTCCGGGGGAGGCGGAACGCCGAGGCTCGCGGGCGACAGGTGACTTGGCCAGGGTCGCCAGGTGAGTGGCGCGCTCAGCTTGGGCCTTTGACATCCTGGGACGGCGTGGGGCGGGCGCGACCCCCCACCCCCCAGCCCCCAGCGAAGCACGCCCCCGTCTGGGGTCCCCGGGTAGGCGGCAGAGCCCTCGGCTGGGCCTGCGGGGAGTTGCGCGCAGGGCGGCGGGGGCGGGGGCCCGGGCGGGGCCGACACAGGTGCTTCGCATCCGGCCCGGGTGGTGGGGTGGGGGGTGGGGGCGGCTCCGCGGAGCTTTATAAGCCGCCCGGGGTGCGGTGCTGCGCGCGGCTCGCTGCAAAAATAGTGCCCACGTGCGTGCGCGTCCCTCGGCGCGCCCGGCCGCCGCCCGGGCCGTCCGTCCTGCAGGGCCGCCGGCCCCATGGCGTTCCCGCTGGTAAGAGCCGCCCGCTCGGGCGGGGCTGGGCGGGCCCGGCCGCCGCGGCTAACGGTCCGCGCGCAGCCACGGCCGGCCCCGGTGGCCCTCCCCGGCCCCGCGGGCGCGCGCGCGAGCCCCGGGCGGGGCGCGGGTCACATGCCCGCGGGCGTGGGGCCGCGTGGAGGGGTGCACGGCCGGCCGGCCGGGGGGTTGGGGGTGGGCAGGGCGCCTCCTCGTGACTCAGGGCCTTTGGGCTTAAAGGCGCCGCGGCCCAACGGGGGCTGCGTTGCGGAGCGCCGGTGGCCTCGAGCGTCTGCCCGGACGGGCGCAGGCCGGACGGACGGGCGCCCTGGCGCCTGCGACACCTCGTCCTGTCACAGCCGTCGCGCTTGAGACCCGAAGGCGCCGGACGCTCTGGCGGCGGCGTGACGCTGCGTGGGGCCTGCGCTCGCCGGCGGAGCCACGACGACGGCGGCGGCGGCGGCCCCTTTAAGGCGGAGGGATCGTCCCCTCGTGCCTCACGCGCGCTTTCCTGGCCCGGGGAAGTCACGTGGCTTCACACGTTCGGTCGGCGCTGGAGCCGGCGCCCGGGGGCGGGTTTGGCCGGGTAGTGGGCGCGCGCGCGCCCCCCGCGGCGGGGCATTTGCGACTGGGCGTGTGGCCACGCCGCGCCGCGCCCCACAGGTGTGGCGGCTTTGAGGTGGGTCGTGAGAGCGTGAGCTGGGGGGAGGCGCAGTGCGGCGTCGGTGTCTGGCGTGGAGCGCCTCAGGCGACGCCGCCCCTGCTTTCCGGGGTGCACGGGGGCCCGGGGCTGGGACCCGGGCGTTCTCCTTAGCCTGGCGCTCAGGCGCGGGTGCCAGGTGGGTGCGGCCTGCGCTTTAGTGGCGCTGTGGCCCCGGGGCGCCGGGCTGGCCGCCAAGCTCGTGGTGGTGGGGCCAGGGCCTGTGCCTGCCGGGCGGCCCAGACCGCCTGCCCTGACTTCCCCTCTCCTCCCCTCCCGCTGGGCCCACTCGGCGTCCGTCTTCTCTTGTGTGTGTCCCTGGCCGTGGCGTGGGGGGCCTCGGAAGCCGTACCCAGGCTGCAGGGAGCACCGGGTGGCCTGGTGCGTGTGCGCTCCGTATGGGGCCGGGGGCGCCTTGCAGGCCAGGCCCCTGTGCACGGGGCTCCCCGGACGGCTCCCGTGGGAGGCTGCAGGTCGGGAGCCCCGGGGTGGGAGTGGGGGACGACCCCCACATCAGCTTCGCAGAAGCCCGGGTTGCCTGGGGCGTGAGGCCTGGGCGCCTCCCCCACGGCAGGCGGGCAGGCAGGCTGGCTCGGGTCTGGCTCCGATTAACGCCGCATTTCTCTGGCAACCGCTTCCCTTGGTCTCCCTGGCTACGGCTCTTCCTCCCCCTCTCTCCTGGCACCTGAGTAAACTGCTGGTCTGCGTCATTGGCTGGGGCCAGGGCAGGTGGGGCGCGTGTGGTTCCGGGGCCGGGGCAGGTGTCCCGGCCGCCTTTGGCTGGCGGTCGTGCGCCAGCTGGGAGCGTGTCACCCCAAGACTCAGGTTCCCCGCAGAGTCTCGGGACACACGCTGGGTTAAAAAGGACAGAACGAAACCGTGGAAATCTGAACTTGGTGATTGTCGTCTTGGTTTTAATATAGGTGGGAGGGGATGGCAGCTGTGTTTCCCCCTGGGCTGCAGGCTATGGGGAACCGCTAAGGGGAGCAGTGCTCCGGGCTCCCTAGTCTCTCAGCCCCACTGGGCTTGCTGCAAGCTGAACGGTATTCGAAGAGCTTGTTGCTGTTAACTTTGTTTTAAAGTACCCCCCCACCCACACTCTTTAAGTGTTTATTTGGGAGAAAGACCTCCCATCTGCTGGTTCATTTTCTGCATTCCAACAATGGCTGGGTAGGAGCTGAGTCCAGGCCTCCCCCGGGCCGGCACTGCTACCTTTGAGGGTCTGCACTAATAGGAAGCCGGGGCCGGGAGCAGGAGAGCCGGTCATCAAAGCTCCTGCTCCAATGTGTGATAGGCGGCCTCTTACTTGCCAGGCTAAACACCTGTGCTGCAGGTTTTTTCTTATCACAGTAATTTAATCTTGAGAGGTCTAGTAGTGCACACTCAGTTTATAGTAATAGGATTTGGAAATTCACTACTCTCTATATAACTCAATCTTTGCGATATAAAACACTTGGCTTCCTCAGTGGTTATCTTATAAAGGGCTCCCTGGCCAAAAAGCCCCACGTGTGGAAGGGGAGCTGAGCCCATCTGTCTGGCACACACAGGTTAGTGGCACTTGCCGCTCAGGCCGGTTTTTGTGTTCTCTTTCGCTGTGGTGCACGGGCCGGTGTCTGTGAGGGAGAGTGGAGGGTGGTGATTAAAGCAGTAGGACTTGCAGGGGCCAGCACTGTGGCACAGTGGGTTCAGCCACTGTCTGCAGTGCTGGCATTCCATAGGAGTGTTTGAGCCCCACCTGCTCCACTTCTGATCCTGCTCCCTGCTAATGCACCTGGGAAAGCTGTGGAGGATGGCCCAGGTGCGTGGGCCCCTGTACCCACATGGGGGACCCGGGTGGAGTTCCTGGCTATTGTGGCCATTTGGGGAGTGAACCAGCAGATGGGTCCGTGTGTTCCTCCTTCTGTAGCTCTGCCTTTCAAATAAATAAAACCTTAAAAGAAAAAAACCCAGGCTCACCACTTGGTAACAAGTAATCAAATGATAATAGCTGCCTTCATAAGTATTTTTGCTGGGTGAAAGCTGCTTTTGTTTTTAATCCCTAAAATGGGTTGGAAACAAAGCTCTCTGGAGCCTACGGTAGCATAAATGAGTGACCGAGAGCGCCTCTAATGGCTGCTAGCTGATCATTGTCCAGCAAAGATATGGCTCTGGAATTGATTTTTTTTTTTGTTTGCCTTTTAAATATTTTAAAAAAGAAAACAGATTTAGAGAGAGGTCTTCCATCTGCTGGTTCCCACCCCAAATGGTTGCAGTGGCCAGGCTGGGCCAGGCCAGAGCCAGGAACTCCATCCAGGTTTCAGGGGCACTTGGAACATCTTCACTGCTTTCCCACTCACATTAGCAGGGAGACAGATCAAAAGTGGAGCAGCTGGGTCTTGAACCAGTGCTCCTATGGAATGCCGGCATTGCAGGTGGTGGCTTAACCTGCTGCACCACAACGCTTCCCTGGATCTTTTTTTAAAGACTTACTGTATTGATTTGAAAGGCAGAGCTGTGGAGAGAGGGGAAGAGAGATCTTGCATCCATTTGGGGAGGGACTCAGAGGATGGAACAGCCTGCTCTGGGCCAGGCAGAAGCCAGGAGCCAAGAACTCCATCCTGGTTTCCCACATGGGTGGCAGGGGTCTAAGGACATAGGTCATCTTCCACTGTTTTTCCAGGTGCATGAGCAGGAACCTGGTTTGGAAGCACACCAGCCAGAACTGGAACCTGCACCAGATGTAGAATGCTGGTGTCACAAGTCTGGGCTCAATCTGTTGTACCACAGTACTAGCCCTGAGTTGATGGATCTGTGATGCTTCCCTCCCTCCCTCCCTTCCAGACAGGTAGAATTATAGACAGAGAAAGATCTTCCTTCTGTTGGTTCACTCCCCAAATGGCTGTTACAGCTGATGCTGTGCCAATCCGAAGCCAGGGGCCAAGGGCCTCTTCCTGGTCTCCCATGCGGGTGCAGGGTCCAAGCACCTGGGCCATCCTCCACTGCACTCCCGGGCCACAGTAGAGAGCTGGCCTGGAAGAGGAGCGACCGGGACAGAATCCGGCGCCCATAAGGGATGCTGGCGCCGCAGCCAGAGGATTAGCCAAGTGAGCCACCGCGTTGGCCCCTCTGATGTTTTTCCTAGTTAAGCGGGGAATCTTTCGACTTTTAAATATAGCAATTAAACTCTCTGTGGACCAAATGTAACATGAACCTTCCTATTAGATTTTCTCCCTGTTTTGCAGGTGAGGAAACAGGTTCAGAAAAAACAAGACAACAAGGCTACTAAGGGATGGAACTGGGTGCTAAGTCTCTGTGCTGCCAAGCCCAACCTGTCCTGTGTGTTTTGAAATATCAGAGCATCAGGGGGTGACTTGCGAGTGTGCGTGGTAGAGAGGTCTGGGGGCTCGTCTCGGTTCAGAGGCCAAGTGAACCCTACGGCACTGGCGGGAACCCCTGGCTGTTGTGGCCGCAGTGTGGGTCTTCCGAGCGTTAGCACAGCAGCGTTGCTGTCGGAGGAATGTGCTGTGTGTGTCATTCCGTGCTGTGTGTCCAGCAGCCAGCTGATCTGAGCTAGCCAGAGGGCTGGAGGAGGAAGGCTCCGCCCACCGTGGGGATGACCTTCCGACGCTGAGTAAAAGGCTCCCCTTTAGGAGCACTGAAGTGTCAGTTTTTCCTGAAACAAGTAAAATTTGAAATTATCTAATTATTTTGACTTAAAGAAATGGAGGTTAGTGAATCTCACCTTTCCTGTCTTAACTAAAGCTTCCATAATGATGTCTCTTAGATTTCCAGGAATAATTCCTAAGGGATTTTTAGCAACATGTGGCAAAATGCTCTTGGCTAAGCTCCTAGGGTGTTATGCTGCCCTGCCCTAGGAACAAGGGGCTGGGGTTTCAGTCACCCTAACAGATAGAAGAGTATGTACATT